TTATGCTGTCTAGAACAATAATAAAGCAGTCTTTAAAAAATAAGTCTAATAATTTCAGCATTCTATAGGCACTTATAGTTATTGACCTACCTCCTTGCATCAAACAGCCTGATCAGCACAAGAAAAAAATATTGCCTCTGCCTCCCAGCAATTTGCCAGGAGGAGCAAACAGCAAGTTTCACTTTCAATTCCTCTTGATCATCAGCTGTTTGAGGCTGCAGGGATTACTATAGCCTCTTGCAGCCTTGCAAACCCCCCAACCCCACCTTGCTGCAAGGAGCTAAATTGCTGGAAGGCAGAGGCTGGTGGGTGGGTGGGGCTACATTCAGTGTATAAGACATACCCAAATTTTCACCCATTTTAAGGGGGGGAAGGTGCGTCTTATACTCTGAAAAAATACGTATTCAGAAGCCTATTTTCTTTGCCACTGCATTCTGGGAAGTCCCATATAGAAGGCATCACATTAATCAAAATGGGAGGTGACAAAAGCAATAGTCACCATGGGCAAGGAACACAGTAGTGATTGTCACAGCCTCATCAAACAAGATCTGTCAATCTAGGCAGTGTTAAAGATAGAAAATATCCAGAGCAGCAAATCAGTCTTGTCAGGATTGAGCCAAAGCTTTTCTCCCCATTCAGACCCTCATAGCCTCCAGGCACTGGGAAAGCACTCAGTGTCATTGCTTGGTGAGTTGAAGGTGGAGATGTACACCTGGGCATTATCACCATACTCATATTCAAGAAGCCAGTTTAAGAAAAAAACGATCTACCGTGTTTCCCCGAAATTACGACATGTCCTGATAATAAAACCATGCTACATTTTTCATGTGGGCAAAAATATACGCCCTCCCCCAATAATAAGCCCCCTGGATAACCCCCCCCCTTCAGCCAGGCAGAGCACCACTCACCAACCTAATGATATCCCGAAGGTGCAAAGCCCCAGAAACCGGGGGGGGAGGGGGGGGCAAAGGCGCTCACATTGCTTGACGCCTTTGGGATACTGCTAGGTTGGTGGGTGGCGCTGTGCTCAGCTGGAGCAGGGGTGTTGCCGGGCAGCTGCTCATGAGCAACTGCCCGGCAATGCCTTTCCAGCCGGGCCGAACACCACTCACCGATCCACTAATATCCCAAAGGCGATAAGCCACGTGGCGCTCTGCCTGGCTGGAAAGAGGTTGCGTGAGCACTTGTTCTGCCTCCAGTTCGTGTGCCTCCCAGCCTCACCGTGCCCAGCTCTCCCTGCAGGGCTGGGCCAGGGTGCCGCCGCTGCTGTGGCCCCGCCACTGCTGCCACCATGCTCCGAGCATAACTGGCTTCCAAACTCTGGAGATCCGCTGCCGCTCTGGGACTACGCTCTACGGTTGTGGGCTGGCTGTTGGAAGACTCTGGTGGGACAGAGAGTCTTCCCGCAGCCAGCCCACAACCATAGAGCATAGTCCCAGAGCGGACGCTGCTGGAAGACTCGGCAGCAGATCTCCGCAGTTTGGAAGCCGGTTATGCTCGGAGCTTGGCGGCGGAGGCAGCAGGGCGGTGGTGGCACACTGGCCCAGCCCTGTAGGGAGAGCTGGGCATAGTGAGGCTGGGAGTCACGCGAGCTGGAGGCAGAACAAGTGCTCGCGCAACCCCTCTTTCCAGCCGGGCAGAGCGCCACGTGGCTTAGCGCCTTTGGGATATTACTGGGTCAGTGAGTGGTGCTCTGCCTGGCTAGAAAGGGGGGTTGCTGGGCGGCTGCTCATGAACTTGGTCACCTCAAGGCGGCTTTGTTGTGCTGCTGCGACAGTGCAACACAGCTGTTTGCCCCTGATGCTGTGCCTGGCTCTTCGGGTGCCCGCTTGCAAGAGAGCAGCCACCCGGAAACCCAAAACCAATAAGCCTCCCCCCGATAATAAGGCCCAAGCAAAAAATTTTTTTTGGGGGGGGGGAGTCAAAAGAAAATATGACCCTGTCTTATTATCGGGGAAACACGATAAGTCAAATTTCTATTGCATTTATTTCCATGCACATTTTATTTTATGATAATGCCAGGCCAGGAAGACTCTTACCTGACTTCCACTGAAACGACTTTTGGATAAAACAGGTATGTTACCACCTTTGTAATTAGAAGGAACATTGCCGAAATGCTGCTGGGCAAGATCCACCAGCTCTTTATGACCAACATCTATTAAAAAACAAGGCCATATGAATATTGTTTCTTCCAACAGGAGCTGCTAAAAGAGAAATCTTTGCTAAACAGCTGCAAACTATTCTTCAAATTGATATAAAATTAAAACATCCCCACTCATGACTTTTTCTGAACATATCCAGTGAAATCTCTCTGGATGACAGCCCATTTAACAGAATCTACAACTTAGATCGTGGCTACAAGCAGTAGTAGCAAAATCTTAAACATCTATTTTTACTCCCCTCCCTCTTAGACCCCAGCAAATAACAGTACATCCAGTCTGAGCTTCTTTCGCATTCTGTTTCTTGGGCTTAATGCATTTTCTATCATTATTTCTGCATAGTTTCTGAAAGTCAAGCTCTGTGGCTCTCTATACTAGGCCTTTGGCTCTATTAGAAATGGTGGGAAATATTTGTAGCTCCGGTGGTAGATGTTGGTGGTGGTATTTTTCTCCGAGCTTGTTTAGAAATTAAATAACAAGCTTGGAGAACAAACTACCACTAACCCATTGGTTCTATTGTCTATTCCTAGTGATAGCATTTTTTTATTGCCTTCCTATAATTTCAGTCCATTATTTGGGGTTCCTCAGTAGAGCATTTTGATTCATGCACAGAATGAAGATATTCTAGATAGAAATTATCGGGGGAGGGGGGGAGATAAGGGAGAGAATAATGAAAAAGCCAAAGATGTCAGTGGTAGAGGAAGCGGCCACTCCTCTTACAACAGTCTATTTCCCAGAGAAGTCCATCCCAAACTTTTCCAGTGCTTTGCTTCTCCCACAATAGAAATGTGTATATTCCCCTTAGTTTAATTTTTAAGGGTTGGATCTGATTCGATGTGCTTCATTAGTCTAAACATATGTCTTTGCTTGTGCCATATAGTCATGATTGCACTCCTATAGCAGTAGAGCTTATTTATAAAAGATGACATTAAAAGAAGACCAGCTTACACTAACCTCCAGCAGCTACTAGAACCATGCGAGGTGCTTTGAGATGAGTTCCCATGTATTCTGCTATATCTGAACGAGTCAATTTCCTAGAAGAAATAAAATACTTTTAATAATTTACAATTTGAAACAAGTATGGTTTTGTGTTGAATGTGATCTCTGTGAGCTTAGAAACCTATTGTCTTTTCATTTTTTAAAAACATATATGTTATTTAGTATAATCTAGGGCTGGGCACCATATTAAAATCGAAAGGGGCAAAAATCTTTTTTGAATGTCCGAGAGGACTCTTCAAACGAACTGTTTTCCTTGGATGGCTCTGCATCTGTGTAGAGAAGCCATGAAAACACTGAAAAAGACACAATAACTTTATGTGCCATCTTGGCACACTGCAGCTGGAACTGGAGTTGATTTTACAAATTGGGAAAGGTTCAACTTTGTATTATGTTGGTTCTAATATTGGATTTACTATTTTGCCTTTTTTATGTATGCTAACTCTTTGCTCCAATAGGATTTTTCAACTTAAATGTGTCTGACAAACATTTTACAAAAGCCATCAGGTGTCTCTTTTGTTTTATACCAACTTCAGCAGTATGAGGATAATACTGAACTAATTTCAGAAATACTAAGTGAAGGAAAAAGAAAACAGATTTAAAACAAAGTTCAAACATCTTCCTCACATATTCTCTCTGAATTTGATGCATATATATGTTGTGCATACACCAGACATTTCCACAGATGTACACGGAATCTGAGTAATTAATTTAAAAAGTAATCATGCCTGGAGAAGACCAGTTTCCTGCAAAGCTCTTTTATCTCATTTTGCAGAAGGAACTGAGACGGAGGAGAAAAGATGGAGGGATATGAGTCTGCAATGAGCAAAGAACTGCAATTGTGCGACTGTGTACTTCTGTTTGTGTGATGGGGAAATGTCAGTTGGTCTTACCTGAACTGTATGTCTCAAAGGTGGATGGGAGTAGTCACAGCTGGGTATTAACACGGCCCATTTGCCTGGAGACTGAGGTACCTCTGCTCCTCCTCCTGACTCCCCCAGATTAGCCAACGGTCTCGTTGAAGAGACGCCTGGGAAGTAAGGGAACAGCGCACACACACACACACCTCCCTTCCCGGTCCCTGACTGACCCGAACTAATTACTCAGGCCCCTAGGCGCAGAGCACACCTAACGGGTGGGAAGTGACTACTCCTACACCACCTTCGAGACATGCAGTTCAGGTAAGACCAACTGACAGTCTCCGAAGTGGGCCATGGGAGGAGTCACAGCTGGGACATATCAAAGCTAGATGTCCATGGGAGGGATCATTGGCCTGAGACCCCCGAGAGTCCAGGACTCCCTGCAGAACCCTCCTCCCGAAGGCAGCCTCCACGTAGGCATAGGCATCCAGCCGGTAGTGTCTGATGAATGGCGAGGGCGACGACCAGGCAGCTGCTCTGTAGATCTCCTCGATGGGTGCCTGGGTGGCCCAGGCCACGGAGGTGGCCGCACTCCTGGTGGAATATACGGTGATGCCCTCTGGTACCTGGAGCCCTCGCGCCTCATAGTCCTTGGAGATGGCCAGTCTGATCCATCTGCTGATGGTGGCCGGAGAGACCTTAGCTCCTCGGGTTGAAGGTTGGAGACAAAGAGCGCCTCCGACCACCTGAAGGCCATCGTGCGTTTCAGATATATGCGCAGGGCCCATCTTACATCCAGATGGTGCCAGGACTTTTCCCTTCCCCTGGAGGGGTTCGGACAGAAGTCCGAAAGAACTATCTCCTGAGCCCTATGAAAGGGAGAGTTGATCTTGGGCATGAAGGCAGGGTCGAGTCTGAGGATGACCCGGTTGTCGTGGAAGGAACAGAGATCCGCCCTGCTGGAAAGAGTTTTAAGCTCGGACACCTTCCTGGCCGAGAAGATCGCTACAAGGAAGACCACCTTGAGGGTCAGGAACTGTAGGCTGACCTCCCTCAAGGGTTCGAAAGGCGCCTCCAGCAGTGCCTGGAGCACCGTGCCAAGGTTCCAGGTGGGAAAGCGGTGGACCGCCGGGGGTCGAAGGTTCACTGCCCCTCTGAGGAATCGCCTTATGACCGGGTTCTGGGACAAGGAACGGAAACCCACCTCCCAAAAAAACTGTGGCTAAGATTGAGACCTGCCTCCTGAGGGTACTGTGGGCCAACCCATTCTCTAGGCCATCCTGGAGGAAGTCCAGTACCTGGGGCATGGAGGCAGAGGTTGGGTCTATCCCCGCAGCCCGGCACCAGGTCGCAAAGGCGGCCCAGGACGCATTGTAGATGCGGGTGGTGGAACCCCGTCTGGAAGCCTCAATGGTCCTGATGACCCTCGTGGAGAAGTGGGCTTCCCTTAGCTGCTCCCGCTCAAGCGCCAGGTGGTCAGATGGAGCCACTCTGGATATGGGTGTTCCAGAGTCCCCTGGCACAGGGCCACCTCCCCCTGTGGGATCCTCCAGTGGGGTAGCTTCGACACGTCCACTAGGTCTGCGAACCAGGGACGACGGGGCCAATAGGGGCCACTAGGACAACCTCTGCCCTCTCTACTACTAGCTTCCTCAGGATCCCGGGGAGGAGGGGAAAGCGTAGAGGAGGCCCGCCGGCCATCTGCAGCGTAGGGCGTTGGTGTCCACTGCTCCTCGAGACGGGAACCTTGATTTACCTCTGTCTCCGTGCAAATGAGCCGTGTTAATACCTAGCTGTGACTCATCCCACGTCCCACTTCAGAGACTGAAAAGTATAAAATACAAGGCTGGAAGTGAGAGAGGATCTTATCCTAGTGAGTCTGGATTGGGAAAGAGGGTCAAAAGCAACTAAGTGTTTTAAGCTGTAGATTTTTAAGAGCGGTTTCTGAGTGCTTAAGGCAAAGTTTGAGAACCCCTGTTTTAAAGGATTGTACTAATAAAGATTTAGCTGTAGTATGTAACAACACAAAAACACACACAAAAACATTCAAGCACTACTAGTGACTTACTGGCTTTCTTAAAAAAAGCTGGTGAAAGAAGCCAAGCAACAGCTCATTAAGGGTCATAGCTTCTTTTGTAGTACATGTGTATATGTGCACGTATGAGTTATCTACAGGCAATACTTTATAATTATGCCTTAGCCATGTGGGTATTAACATAAGAGCGAATACATTGGATTTGAATTAAGACACGATCTTCCATCCAGGACATGGCATATAAGCAATGCTTGACCAGGGTCTGGGATGCTACACATCCTCTCCCTGACCAGTTTTCTATGTTGCTTTCTGGGAGGAGGCTTTGCAGAACCCGAAGCAGAACAAGTAGATACTGTAATAGCTTTATACCCATATAGTAGCAACCTTGCTAACTCTTTTTTCTGCTATGTATTCTAAATAGTCTGTGATTAATAATATGTGTGTGTACAGCATATGTATGTGCATGTATATGTACAGTATGTGATCATGAAACACCAGGCAAGATCTTCTACGAATCTTCTTTTTCAGCCTCTCCCAAAAGTTAAATAAAAATACTTGTTTATTTTTTAAATAAAATATTTTTAAATATTTTGAATTATGTTCTAGAATTTTTAAAAAATCGAACTGTCACTGTTTTTTCCTTTTCAATCTATTTCCCCACCCCACTAGTCATAGTTCATGTAGACAATATTTTTGAATACATAGAACACATACACATTTACATTAACTACTAAGAGATATTTCCTTAGAAGCCAAAAAAAAACCAACAACAACAACAACAAAACAAAAAAAACCCAGTAAGCAAGTAGAACTGTGTATTTCAGATCTGTATCATAATGCTTGCACCAGGTTGATATTGCTAGAGCAGGAAAGGCAAACTTTTCAGGCTTGGCATGTCAAAAATTCAGAATATGCCTAACCTGACTCTTTTGGACCTCAATTTGTCCTGGTGCTACCGCTGCCACTCAAAAAGGCCACCTCATGCTGTTCCTCAAGGGGTACACATCTTGGAAATTGGTGCAATTGCCCCATGGCTCAGAGCTTCCCAAAATTGTGTGAGAACTGAACGTTCTTTTGACAATCATTGTTCTCAGATGTTGGTAAATGTTGGCTGGTCATCCCAAAAGTGGTGGTGTATCACCTTTGGCATGTGTATAATAGGTTCACCATCATTGGAATAGATTCTTTAACTGTAATTCCCAACACTCAGTTTCTCTAATGTATATTGTAGTAATTAAGATAAATGGCTGTTTTGTTTGTGTGCAAATTGTTGTTTAAATTGTTTCTGCAATTTAAATGAGACTTGTATTTATCTCACTCTTTATTTCAATTAACTAACTAAAATCTGTGTGTCTTAATCATGTCACTTCTGTTCAACTCACTTTATATTTGCTGTTGTCCCTTCAGCAGTCTGGGCCAAAGATGTGCCTTGATAAGCCGAAGCATGAAGATAATTGAAGAGGACAGCAGACAGACAAGAATCGGATTCTTTCATCTCCTGAAGGATGACATTCCGCTCCTTTTCAACCTGAGAATCTTCCAAGCTGCAGTTTTGTGTTATATCAGCCAGAATCTCAATTGCTAAAAAAGACATGCTATTGAATCATCAAGTCAAATTAAATTAAAAAGTTACCATGACATTCCAAGATGAGAAAAAAACAAAAACAAAACTAGAGAACATTTATGGCATTGCAAGCCACAGCCAATGTCAACCCTTTTGTATTTGTATTTATTATACTTGTATGC